CGGAAACTCACCTGAGGACGGAAATACTCCCACCCCTGAGCTGGTACTTCCCCTACGGACTTGGGACCCGAATGCTGTTTTTTCCCCGCCCGCAACAGATGACTCCAGACGGGCCTCTGCTGGCGGTGCAGGCGGCCCTGAAGAAGTGCTTTCCTGTGGTGGAGGAGCAGCAGCGCCTGTGGCGGAGCAGCCTGAGCGACTGCCCGCCGCTCCTGGCCTCCCTCTGCAACCTGGCCGAGCAGCTGCGGGCGGCGCAGAACCTGCGCTTTGAGGACGTGCCGGCGCTGCGGGCCTTCCCGGGTTTGCAGGAGCGGCTGAGGCGCAAGCAGCTGGAGGCCGGGGACGCGGTCCTGGACCAGCTCGGAGAGCGGCTGTAAGGGAGGAGGCTCCTCCGCGCTCGTGGCGGGGGGATGCTGGGATCGGGTGTGCCATTGTCGCCGGGCTCCGCCGGGAAGGTGCTTCCTTCCTTACCGAGAGCCTGGCCTCGGGGGTGCCGCAGCCTTGCCTGCTTGGCCTCTGCTGCGGGGGCCCTCGGTCGGAAAACCATCTTCTGGCATTTATTTCCCTGGTCAGCGGCCAGGTGTGGCCGCGGTGGACTTAGGAGAAGTTTGAAAAGTAAAATAGAGAAGCAGCGGAGAACGCTTCGTAGGTGCCTTCTGTAGTTTTCTTGGGTAAAAAGCAACGAGGGACTGCGGTGGACCCTAGAACAATGCTTGGGGTTAGGGGTGACCTCCAGCGCCATGGAAAACCTCCGTAGAACTACCGTTGGCCCTCCCCATCCATGGATTCCCGCTGCAGAGTTCGCCCTCGAACAGCGCAGGTGGGAGCTGTGCTGGTCAATTGAAAACAACATCCCCATATAAGTAGACCTGCACGGTGAAAGCCCATATTGCTTACGGGTCAGTTGTATGTTGTGAGCTCGGAGGGTGTCAGAGCTGAGGGTGTTACAGACATGACTGCATAAAATCTTCTCAGCACCTCTGTGCCTTAACCTCATTTAATCCCATTTTGCAGGTGAGGAAACTGAGGCTCAAACAGATGGCCTCTGGTCTCACAGCTGGTAAATGGGTAGCGGGGGTTCTCACCCAAGTGTGCCTGAACCCCCACTTCGTTCTGCTGTACATTGGTGTCTCTGCACCAACCGTCAGCCCTTATTATGCCTCATGTTAGACACTACCTTAGTTACAGGTTATGGGGGTAGAGAAAAGACAGGGCAGGGCGCCTGTGGCCTTTCCTTGGCCAGAACCGAAGATGGGTCTAGTCACTATGGAGTATGGAGTATATGCCATAGACCAGTGGTTCTCAACCTTCCTAATGCCGCGATCCTTTAATATAGTTCGTCATGTTGTGGTAACCCCCAATTTCATTGTTACAAATTGAACATAATTAAAGCATAGTGATTAATGACAAAACAATATGTAATTATATATGTGTTTTCCAATGGTCTTAGGCGACCCCTGTGAAAGGGCCGTTCGACCCCCAAAGGGGTCGCGACCCACAGGTTGAGAACCGCTGCCATAGACTAATATGAAACTGTCGAAAAGGGGCACCTTCTTTGTATTCATTTGTACAAAATACATTTATTCACAAAGTTCTTGGCATCCCACTGGTGCTTAATAAATGTAAATTAAATTGGTACAACAATGAACCAGGTTTAATTCCTTAGTTGAGTAGAAGAGGTAGTCAGTTAAATATTATGTCATGGTCTATTCTAAGAGAATGAATTTTTATTTCAATTGTTTGCATATGTGCATGTGGATATCAGGCTCTTGTTTTAAGTATACATTAACTCTTTGCGGTCGTTTGTCTACTCTCAGCCACCAAAGCTTTTTTACCGTTCCAGTCGTATGTCTGCTCTCAGCCACCACAGCAAGGAACCGTACGAATCTTAACTCTATTCGTTCATGTATCAGTTCATAATTTCTCTGAAAGCTCTTAAGTGTCTAAGCGACCTTGTCACTAACCAAAACATTGCCCCGACAAATCGGAGATATCGAAACTCAATATAAACAAACGTGGTCGTTCCACACTCGCCATGCAAAACACTGTGGCGAGTCAGTCGCCTTTTGAGAGTGAAGAAATCGACAAGCTTCGGAGATACTTCGCAGAATTTCAAATAAAGCTTTACAAATTACGTTTAACTGTAATTAGGCATTCTTGCTTGTTAAGATATTTCAAAATAATACTCCAAAATGGCAAAAAGAAAGTTACCGAAAGAAGGGTACTGCGAATCTGAAAGTAACGATGAAGAGTTTTATTTTCGCACCTTGAATACTGACTCTGACATAGAAAGTGATAACATTTGTAGTGATTCTACTAGTAGTGACGTAGTTCCAAAAAAGAATTAATAAACCTTGTTTATCCTTCATAGTCTTGCATGTTATGTATCACTGCTCTTTCAATGGAAATTAATTCCGACCAGTACGACACCCATTTCCAAATTTAATAGGACCGCAAAGGGTTAAAATTATGGGTCATGGTCAAACATTTTTGAAAGCCACAACTCCAAGCTAAGGAATGCCTTGCCCCTTGGGAAGTTGTAAACGTTGCCTTGGTGGCTGGGCCCCTTGGAGTCGCCAATGGAGTAATAACAATATTAACCACAAGCCGGGAACTTCTCTCAGTATTTTATGTGCACTATTGCATTTAATCTTCACAATAACCCTTTTTTTTTCTTCAACAAGTGCTTGTCCTATGGCCAGTCTCAGTGTTCTAGGTACTTAGAATGCGCAGTGAGCAAAACAGACTAGCTTTATATGAGAAAGAAAAAGAAACTTTCCTAAGTCCACATTAGTCTGTGTGCACTGCAAGCCTAAACTTTCACCATTCAAGAATTTACTAGGATGGGGCTGGGTGACATATGGATAGTACTGGTTTGTTGCTTCAGTTGCCTCTTACTCCCTTTTCACATTCAAGTGTGAGCAGTTGCTTTTCTTTACAGCTTTGTGGCAGCCTCAGACAGGCCCCTTGCTCATTACTTTCATTGAGAGCCATGTAACTTATGTATCTTCTCCGTCTTTAAGTAAATTCTTAATTCTTGAGCCATCCCTACCTCCAAGGCACCGTCACCAATCTCCTTCCCAAGTGGGTGTCATTTGGAGGCAGTTTTTATTGGGACATTTGGCAATACCTGGAGACAGTATTGATTGTCACAGCTTGGAGAGCGTGGGAGCATGGTTTGGTCCTGCCGTCCAGTGGGTAGAGGCCAGGGATGATGCTAAACATCCTACAGGGCACAGGGCAGCTCCACCACAAAGAATGTGGTCCAAAATGTCTGTGCCAATGGTGAGGAACTCTGTCTTTTGCCTTTTTCATGATAATGCCTAATACTAGACCCTTTCCCCAGAGCTGCCCTCCTCAAGGTGCGTGACACTGTCAGCAGCCACGTGGGACAAGTGCTGCAGATCTATGAGCAGCATGCAGACGCAATCGGCATTGACGCTGTCCTGCAGGCTTCAGCGGTGAGCCCCTCTGTGGCTGACATGTTGGAATGGCTGCAAGATATTGAGAGACATTATCAAAGTTCGTATCCTTTGCACACATTTCAAATAGTATCCAGGGCTGTTGCAGGAAGTCTTTTTTTCTTTCTTTCTTTTTAATCCGTACCCGAGGTTAATTTTTCATTGATTTTTGTTTGTTTATTTATTTTCCCCCATTGATTTTTAGAGACAGGGAAAGACAGAGAGAAATATCGATGTGAGGGAAACACATCGATTGGTTGCCTTCTGCATAAGCCCCAACCAGGGCCTGGGCTGGGTAGGAGCCTGCAACAGAGGTACATGCCTTTGACCGGAATTGAACCCGGGACTCTTCTGTCCACAGGCTGATGCTCTATCCACTGAGCCAAACCAGCTAGGGCCCAGGAAGTCTTTTAATTTCATTTATCACAGGATTACAACATTCTATAGTATGGGTCAGTTCTCTTTGGTTCCTGAACTTGGGTTCTTCCTACAATTATTTCAACTCATTTATTGAGTAGCTACTACGTGCCAGGCCTTTTTCTAGTTTCTGGACGTTAAAAAGGAAAACATATAGAATGTCAGATGGTGATAAGTGCTATAGAGAGAAATACAGCAGAGAAAGTGAGGGGTGAGGGTGAGGTGGTGATTTTAAATAGGGTGGGCAGGGCAGGCCTCACTGAGAAAGTGACATCTGCGAGAAGCCATCAGTGCAAAGGCCCTGAAGTGAGAGAGTGCCTGAATGTTCAGGAAATGGCAAGGAAGCAGTGTGGTTAGAGCAGAGTGAAGAGGGGAAGCCTAACAGGAGCCGGGCTGGATCTTGCAGGGCCTTGAGGTCTGACAGGATCTTGGCTTTCACTTTGAATGAGATGGAAAGCTATGCGAAGGCTTTCACATAAGCAAACCTGTTTTTAACAAAACCACCCTGACTGTGTTCTGAGGAAGACTTGGGACGGTGTGGGGCAAGTGTAGAAGCGGAAAGATCATTTAGTTGGATGGCCTTTTTCTCTCGATTCTTGCCTGATCCACTGGCTTCAGTGTTTGAGTAGCTCCCAAATCCAAGCTTTCTTTAGATGCCTCCAACTGCATTGCTTATGGACCTGCACACTCAGGTTTAGAATTAAACTCCTCTATCTAGCCCTCACATTCTATTTCCTTTTCCTTTAGTCGTAGACTCAACCGTGTATAATCACCCACTCTGAAGACTTAAGCAGTCTCTTCCCCCTTTCCCTCTGTTTTCTTTTTCAATTGCAGCAGCAGCATGGGCAGTAGGAGCTGCAGCTGCAGCTAACATTACTGAGCACTTACTGTGTGCCAGGTACTGCTCTAAGCATGTTTACACAGCCACCTGTCAAATCCTTTTCATCTGTTTCCCTGGTGTGTTGTATATATTGTTTCTCTATCCTCATTGCCTCTTCCATGGTTTCTTACCTCTCACTTGGACTTTTAATCACATGCAGCCTCTTGCTCTGTCTCTGGCTTCTTTCCCTGTAAGCCATCCCCAGTGAGTGACCTCACCCCACATTTCTTCAGGAGGTCGAGTTCTGATCCTATTGCTTGTATAGGAGTTTTTAGTAGTTTCTGTTGGGAGGCGGGCAAAATGCAGAATCCCCACGCTGGGCTACAATGCTCTTTGTGTTCTGGCTCAACCACCTTTTCTCCTACTGGACACATAGTTCCATGCCAGCCACACTGGAAGGTGTACTTGTCCCTGAGTCCATCCCAGACGACCCCATTATCGTGCCTTTGCGTCTGCTTTTCCTGCCAGCTGGACTCTTCCTGGTGCCCTCTAAACTGGATGATTCATCCTGGGCACTGCCTCTGACTTTTACCTCATATGTCACTTAGATTCTTTCTCCTCAGTCTCTGGTGTTTCCACACCGTGGCCAGGTCCTGGACTGCAGGGCAGTGTTCCACTCCTCTGTCCCTGAGCGTAGAGCCACGTGAGTGAAGAGGTGCCCCGTGAAGCTTGGTAGCGTGGGCCAGTCCTGCAAGTGGGAAATTTCATGATAGCTGCACTTTCACTTCTATGCGCTCCCTAGCTCTCTCCAGGGTATTTTCCTCCTTCAATATATTTCCTTTTCTTTTTGAGCGATCCTTAACTTCCAGGAAGGTACCTGAAGAGAAAGTACCTCCTGTCCTCAATCGAATGGGGAGATTTGGCAGGAATCCAAGCTTTGCCCACAGCCTGGGACCGGATTTCGGAAGATGAACACCAAGACTTGGTACCAGGTACTGGTTGGCTTATTCCTTCATGTCTCCCTCTCCTCCGTTTGTCCCCGTGTCTCGCTTCCTTGGGAGGATCGTAGAGGTGCCCTCTCAGTGCCCCTGCCTCTTCTGTCCACCTGGAGAGGTGGTATGTCACGGCTCTCTCTTCCTATTCCAGACATCCTACTGAATGTTTCCTTCTCCCTGGAAGAGTAAGGAAGCCATGTGCTTATCTGGAGGTCAGAGGGACACAGTTGAAGACCAGCAGTGCCGCACTCTGCTATTTCTTAAGAAATATCGATATTGCCCTGACCGGTTTGGCTCAGTGGATAGAGCGTCGGTCTGCGGACTGAAGGGTCCTAGGTTCAATTCCGGTCAAGGGCATGTACCTTGGTTGCGGTCACATCCTCAGTAGGCGGTGTGTAGGAGGCAGCTGATCGATGTTTCTATCTCATGGATGTTTCTAACTCTGTATTGCTCTCCCTTCCTCTCTGTGAAAAATCAATAAAGTAAATTTTAAAAAAATCTTTAAAAAAAGAAAAGAAATGTCGATATTGTGACCGGACTTATTTGAAAAATGGCCTACAGCCTAAGGACTGGCTCTTGGGAGAATTGTTGGGGCTTCTCCCTGCCAGGTCACGGCTGAGGGTACCTGGGCCACACCTCGCTCTTTCCTAAGGCTCAGGGGAGTGGTGGAGGCAGAGAGATGCAAGAGAGACACTGAAGACACCCAGGTCAGAAGCAGGAAGGAAGGACAGATAGAGTGGCACCGCCATTGGCATCATCCAAAGCTCTGAGCCTGGTTGGCACCAAGTCCTGGTTTGGTGTATTTGTGTCCATACCTGATTCTTTGAAGAATAAGAAAGTGACTTTGATGATTTAAAGAAATAAGGGTGATGTTGATAGAAAACAGTAATTGTTTTCCAAGAGCAATATACTAGTAGCTTCTTATCAAGCCAGTTTCAATTCCCAGAGCCTACCACCAGGGGGAGGTGGTGCAGCATGAATGATTCTGAATGATGTCTGTTGCTTACCATGTGAGAGTGAGTACAGTAGGTCCTTGGGTTACATCTCCTATGGCGCGATGTAACGCGATTTTGTCGCCGTCGGAACCCACCTACGTAAGCACCTACGTCACTCACATGGAGCACATACACAGCAGTAATGAAGTGAAACAGTAAAAAAAATTTAAAAGAAAGATAACAATTCCTGACCTTTACTTGTGATAAATAAATAATAAAAAATATAAAGCACATATGTACGTACGTCGAAATGATGGAACTTTTTTTTTTTATAAATAAATGATGGCGACGTAACCACGAAACGACGCATGTCAAGTCCAATGTAACCGGAGGACTGCCTGTACTTGTCATAAAATGACAAATACTCTTCAAGCAATAGGACAGGACCAGAGCGACATAACCACGAAACGACTTTCGTGGAGTCTGATGTAACCCGAGGATTGCCTGTGACTGGGGATAGTGGGACTCCTAAAATGATGGGTTTTATGACCAATGCTGGCAACTGACTTGTCACATTCCTCTGATGTTGGAATAGCTGCAGGGGTGGGGGACCCCAGCCCAGAGTCAGTGACCAGGTCTTATGATGTGTTTAGTGACAGAGATGAAAAAGCACGAGGAAGGTTTACAGCTCAACCAGGGAACGATCCAAATCAGTGTTTCTCAAGCTTTAATGTGCATATAAGTCCCTGGTGTCTTGTTAATATTTAGACTTTGATTCTGTAGTTCAGGGGTGAGGTTCTAGATTCTGGATTTCTAACAAGGTTCCAGGTAATGTTGATGTTGATGATCCAGGGACAAGACAGTGGAAGAGATTTAAATTGTAATACAATAATAAAAGTGTGTCAGAGGTAAAAGCAGAATGCTGTGGGAGAAGAGAGGCGAGAACTCACTAGTGAGAAGACTTCACAGTGACACTTCAGTTGGGCTTGAGGCTCATCTTACCTGGGGCTAGGAGGGACTGAAGGCATTCCATGTACAGGGACGGGCTAAGCCAAGTCCTGTGTGCCAGGTGGTGTGCTTGTTGCTTTGTACAAAATACATGATTGAAAAGTTCTCCCCCAGTTACTCAGCCCCTTTCCTCGAGGCAGCCAGTGTTTAATGATTCTGGCATATCCTTCCAAAAATACTCTGCTTATATGAGTGCAGTGGTGGGCAACCTCTAAGACAGCCCGGAACAATCTCACGCCCGTGTACATCTCTTCCCCGTCAGTTTGGGCTGGACTTACAGGTTTGCTTCTACGGAATAGAATACTGCAGACATGGTGGGATGCCACTTCTGAAACTAAATTATGAAAAAAAGGCAGCTGGTGATGTCTTGGGTGATGTCTCCCACTCTCTTGGATCACTCATCCTGGGGGAAGTCAGCTGCGATGCTGGGGGCAACCTGTGGAGAGCCTGGGTGAGAGACTGAAGCCTGTCAGCAACCACCAGAGGGAGCTTGGAAGCAGATCCTCTCCTTCAGGTGAGACCACAGCCCCTGCTAACTGTTTGACTGCAGCCTCATGAGGACTTACGCCAGAGGCAAGCCGCTAAGCTGTGCCCAGATGCCTGACCCATGGAAACAGATAATAAAGGTCTCAAGTCATTATGTTTTGGGTTCCACAGCAATAGTTAACAAATACAACAAGCAAATATGTTTATGTGTCTTCTCCATAATTTTACACAAAAAGTAAAATATAGGTCTAGTTTTGTGCCTTGTTTTTTCTAAAGCAGTTGCAGAGTTTTCTGTTGTGTGGGCTTAACCATAATTTATTTCACTAGCCCCTGACTCGTGGACGAGTAGGCTGTCTGTAGTCTCAGTATCGGTTAGGTATCAGCAACCCTCCCTCCACTCCCACCCCTGCTCGGGGTGCTTTTTTTCAATTAGCTGCTCCCATCTCACCCACTCAGCCCCAATAAAGAAGAATTCTGTTGGTATTTTTACTGGAATCCTATTACATTTAGAAACTGAGTTAGAGAGAATCATCATAGTGGGAGTCCTTACACTCCTCCAGCCGTGCTGCTGGCTTTGGGTTGAGATAGCAAATGTGAGTTCTTTGCTGTTTCCCTCAGTTGGGAAAATAGGCTCTGAGTTCAGAACACATTTCCTGTCAGTGAGACAGTCTGTTGGGATGACATGAATTCAGGTTTCTTTCCTTCCTGTCTCTACCCCATCCCCATTTAGACATCAACCTCAAGACTGTTCTCTCAGGCAGAGTAGGGGTTTTTCAAAGTCAGTGGGATCCTAGCTCAGAGGAGGACTTCTCCCCACCCAAGGAGAGTCCAGGCTTTATAGTGATTGTATCATGTTTGATTTTAATCTGGTTGATAGGGGCTAGGAACCATCTGCGACTTGTTCAAGCATTAGGTGTTAATGATTCCTTCTTCCCCTGGAGGAGCAGGCTCAGGGGTGAGGGCGCATTGATAATCAGCTCGGGGAAGGCTTGCTGAATTGCAAGTGACCCAGACCTGGGTTCAAGTCTCAGCGCAAGTGACCTGGGGTGAGTCATTTCCCCTCCAAGTTTCGGTTTCTTCACCTGTATAATGAAGATGATGATATACATCCTCACAGGGTTGTACATTTTAAGTGAGAGGAGGTATGTGAGGGCTTTTGGTAAATTTATAAACATTTAAGGGGTTGAAATTCACTTGAGATTTATTGGTCACGTACCAAGTGCATAGCTCTGCTGTGGAACCGGTATGCTTGCGAGACGGTGTTTTCCGAGTGCGCATAGCTGGTCAGTGACTTGCCAGAATTTGCACCAGGGTTTTGTTGGTTCTGGTGAGGGGTCTTTCCCTTGCACCACTGTTTCCTCCTTGCCACAGAGGCAGAAGCATCCCTGACACCTCCTCAGCGGGGACAAGAGTTGGATTTCCTGAACACCCAGCCCTGCACGGGACATGGTTCCTCCAAACAGCAGAGGTAAGGGCAGCGCTGCCCCGTCTGGCGTGCCGGTGGCACAGGGCATCCAAGGTGCTGGGCAGCTGCAAGCTTGCCAGTTACCCTCCCTTCTGGTCCCCCGGCCGGGAGGGCTGGAGTGGATCCTGGGGCTGCCTGCCAGAGCCTTACACTTTTGCTCTTTATGCCAGGGGCTGGGAGGAGAGAGCCAGTGGGGGGGACGGGGGACGGGGAGGCTGCTGCTTCCAGGCACTCTCCCTCCCGTCATTCCTGGAAGGCTCCTTGGTTTCTACAGAGTGCCAAGGAAAGTCGATTTTTCTAAGCCCCCGAGATTCAGCCCAGTACGTGTGGGGAGGGCCTAGGTGTGTCAGCCTTCTTACCAAGTCCGCCTCGTTTTCTTTAAGAAATAATCTTATTCCTGAGAAAAAGCAGCAGCCCAGAGAGAGAGAGAGAGGGGGGACTGGCAGAGTAGCCACAAGCATTGCTCTTCTCTGGGAAGAAACTAGCCGTAGTAACTTCCTCATTGCCCGCTTCTTCCCTGTTGCTTCTCAACACCCAGCTCATCCTCAGGTCCAAAAGGCACATGAGCTGTCCACACCCCCACCTCCATGCGTTTGGAGTGGGGCAGGAACAACTTATGTATATGGCGCCTGCAGCCGGCCACATCTGCATTTACTCACTCAGAGGCCTCGTGTGCCCAGCACAGAACCGATTACCAGTGACACAAAGTTAAGTAAGAGAGGCTAACAGTTGAGTGGGCCAGACAGATCCACAAGCCCATGGTGTGCAGGGAATGCAGTGGCTGGAGAGTGACTGATCCTTTCTGTGGGTTTTTGTGGGAGGCAAGCAAAGGAAATGTAAGAGCGGGCCCCCAGCAACTTGATTTCAGTGAGAATCCTTCCCCTGGGCTGTACCAGAGGAAAGTGATGGGGGAGGGCGTCAGCCGGTCAGCCCGAGGGCCAGCCTGTGAGCTGGGAGCCACCCTCCGCGCTCGGCTCTGCTCTCCCGGTTCAGACGTGCGCAGTAGAACTCAATTTGCACAGAGGGCCCAGACTAATAAATCCTCCGCTCAATTGCAGTCCCCACAGTGCGTTTATAGGCAGCAGCTGACTTTTATCAGCTAGTTTGTTCTTTCATATAAGAGTTTTATGAGGGTCTCCTGAGCTGGCTCATAACGTGATGAAACGTCTGCAGAACGCAACCATAAATCCCCGGCACCTGCCAAGCCGAGGGTGCTGTTTTCCAGGCACATTTTGTCCAGCTGGCGGCTCTGTCCCCTTGCCCAGTTTGCATTTTTGCACTTGTCTCTTTAAACTTGGATTTGTTTTCCAACTCTCTGCGGCCTCTTTAAAGGCAACTGAGAAATGAGGGGCAGGAAAAAGGAACTAGAAAGTTACGTCTGTGCTAAAAATTACCCCTGGCTTATGTCGCCCTGAAAGCTGGTTTGGATCCTTCCTGTGCAAGGGAGACGTAAG